TCTCCAGTAAGGAAGTAAAGCCAATGCAAGCTGGCAGCATAGCTACTGATTCCACGTCACAGTAGCTCTAGCCTTCTTGGCCAATGAGTGGTCTTAGAGAGAAAATCTCCCTATCTTTTTATGCCACTGAGCACACAGAATGGACAGGAAAGCAGGCATCCTCCCTCCTTACCCATCAACAGCTCCTGCAGAGATAAGAGTATGCTCATCCTGAAACAGCACCACAGTTACACTCTGCTGGAAATCCTTAAAAAGAGAAGAAAAAAGAATTTTATTTTCTTTTAAGGTCAGCAAGATCTTGCTACTTAGTTCAAGGCCATGTGAACGCAGTGAAAACCTCCTCCTAGCCAGGCAGCAGAACATAGAAACAGCAGATGTCATTTAGGACACAACAATGCTTTGAACACTCCCACCAGAGAAATTGCCATTGAGAGATAAGTGTTTGGGCAGCAGTTTGAGATCACACCTTTCAGCTCACAGATAAGAGAGCTGCCTTCATCCCAAAGTTTAATAGATTAAAAATGATCTGGTCTTCCTCCAGTAAGGCAGTCATTTGTCTGGTCAAATTAAGGGGGTAAAAAAAAAAGAAAAAAAATTACAACTCTCCATATCTTTCTCCTCAAAAAGGGAATGCTGGCCACTCCTTTCCTCCCTGGGAAGGGAAAAAAATCCCCCCCTGTATTTTCACACAGCATTTGCCCAATGTTGGCTTTTATGGCACGTGGGCTGTTAGGCAACTAAACAGTGTCTAAAATTAGTCACTGCAAATGACCATGACAAAAAACCAAATCCCTGCAAAGATAAATGGAAGCACTTACCACATACAAGCCACACATTTCTCACTACATTTACTTAGGAAGAATTCTGTGAATACCACTGTCCCCAGAAGAGACAATTTGTTTGTTGCCCAGATACCCACCACCAATGGAGCAAGTCCTCTCAGGTTCTGCCTCCTCTTCTTCAGTTTGGAGGGAGTCTGCTTCTCAGCCACATTGTGTGCTCCACTGATTTGATTTACCTGCCTGTAAAAGCCATCTGAAAGAAATCAAAGACATCTCAATTAGTAGTTTACATGCAATTTTGCTATCACTTTAATAAAACAGGCATCAGCTTGGGATTAGACCTAAAAGGTAGCTTAGGTTAACCTTTAAAATCATTCATGCATCTTGAAAACAAAAATTACGTATATACAAAACCAGTGAGAAAAACACAGTGCAAAAAACTGCAGAGGTCAGTGTAGCATGGACATTGAAACTAAAACTGATCTAGGCAGGCTGCCTTTGGAAATTATTACCCCTTTATCTGTTTTACACATGCATCCTGGTCTGAGTGTTCAACCCACTTATCCCAAGCAGAACTGCACTCACAGGAAGATTTCCAGTGCTTTTCTACTCTATTTTATAATTTCCTGTTCAGCCTTTTGTCTATTACCTTTAGAAATGTACTGCCTTACTAGAGTAAGGCGACTGTTCTACTTTTCTTTTTCCTACACCTTCCACTTCAATCATGTGGAATCAGTCAACTTTTTGTTCACTTGCCTGCTTGAAGAGCCAGGGAACCTGGGACAGATGGAAGAGCAAGACATGTTCAGGCAAAGAAACTGGTGTGGCAGAGCAGGGAACTGGGAAATGGCATAAGGGGAAGGGGCTGGAGAAGGGAAAGCTCTAGGAAACAGAGGAGCAGAATCAGCTCGCATATTTATAGTAGGTGTTCCCACCATATATTCAGTTGCTACCAGCACTCACAAGCTCTTTTTTCCTACACTTTCTGCCTTCCTTCCTACTCTGGCAGGAGCATTTCCAGCTTTTCCTCACCCCTCTGGATGGCTCTGACCTAAGAAATCTCTCCTATCTCATCTGCTTCTGCACTGCCCTAGCAGGGATGTATTCTATACAGCCTCATCTCTTTACCTACACACATGGAATTCTCAAACCAGCCCCTGATGTTGCACATCTGGGACTGCTGCAAAGTGGAGAAATGTAATATACATAGATAGCAGAGATACCTATCCATCCTCTTACAGCACCTAAAGCAGTACAGTTATCTGAGAATCCTCTTCTGCCTACATTGTAATCAAAAGTATCAGTCCAACAAGTCCATCTGAGCAGTCCTTTTACATGAGATACCAAGCTTTTTTGATACATATCTGAAAGTTTATTTACCTTTCTTGTTGCACCTGGTATCCCAAACCATGATGTTTCCATCTCTCCCTCCAGTACAGAAAACAGCTGCAAGAAAAAAAAGTGTTATTAGCTTCTAAAAGCATTCATTTAATTAACTGAATGCAGTACAATGCCACCTATGTACGTCTGGCTCTTCTGTCCCAACACTTGTGATGTCAGTCCTGGAAATATAGAACTCAGGCCATTGTTTTGCCATGCTTTTTGACTTGTTCCCTTTCTCTTACTATCCTTTTCTTACTCCCACTAGAGAAACCAGCTCATGGAAAGCATAATCACACACTTGGGTATGGAAGCAGATATCCTATCTCATCTCTGCCCAAGATCAGAAATGTGCAGATTTTAGCATTAGGACACCATCAAGTTCCAACTAGACAGTTTTGCTTTGCTGGCTGGGTCACTGCTCAGGCCTGTGCTATTGGTACCCCTCAGTTTCCAAAGCCCTTTTTCAGCCCTTAAAAGTACTTTGCCAGGGGTAAAGAAAAAGAAAAAAACAGACAACAGGGAATACCAACATTTACCTTTCTCAAATCTAGAAAAAGCAACTGACTTGAGGCTACACTGGTGACCTTTGCATATGCCAAGAAGCTCGCCAGCTCTCACATCCCACACCTTGGCTGTCTGATCTCCTGAAGCAGTGACCTTCAGAGGGAAAAATAAAAAGCTTAAGTCATTTTCTGTACACAGTTGCCAAAGCATTAAAAAATGAGATGGCAAAAGACTACTTACAATCCCGTGTTCCCCTGGCACCCAGGCAAGGTCAAACACAGCATTTGAGTGAGCCTGCCATTCTAACAAGAAAACAAAAGCCAAGATTAGTTCAGTGCATTGCAGCATGGTATTTTGCAAATGACATCTGGACACTGAAATCAGAAATCTTGTCAACAGTTTGCCTTAGGCATGAAAGACAATACAGAACAATTCATCTGCTACTGCAGTAAGAGTACATTGTGTTGCTGCTTTGTGAAGAAGACTCAGTAAACTATGCAGAAGGAATAAAGTACTGCCTAAAATTTACGTTTTAAGGACTTGCAAAAAGCTCTCTTTGATTCCAGTAAATCCCACACTTGTCATGTCAAATGAAGATCACCTTCTATACAACATTTACCTTTAAAGATGAGCTTGCTGGTGGTCTGTGATTCAGTATCATACAGTCTAACAAACCCTTCTTCATTTGCAACTGCCAGGACGTGCTCCAAATTTGGGGCTGAAAAGAAATTGAAGCGTATTATATTATGTAGCTAATACAAAATCCTACCCTTGCCCTTTGTGAGAGGCACAGATGTTTTAAAGAGGGAATGCAGCAAACATAAAGCTGTGAAATAAAGCGCATTTACATAGCAACCTAACTGTAAAAATACAGAAATACTAGCAAGCATTTTTTCTAGATGTTCCGTTCTGGAATAACTATACATGGGCAATCAAATGGCTCCAAAAACAACTTCTGAGATAATACCTCTTCCACCAGCTATAGCAGTTTTCTAGTTACAGTTTCCTATCTCTAGAGCACCTATCATCTACAGCCTCCCGCATTTTCCATGATCTGACTTGGAAAAGAAGGAGGCCACCTTAGAGAAATGTAAAATCTCATGCCAAAACTAGAGTACAATGAATGAAGAAGTTTTGCCCTAAAGATCCAGGAGCTCCATTGCTTACTCCTTTCCTCCATCATGGGGAAATGCTGTGTGTAACTCCTGGTGACATCCACCTCTGATTTCTACCTAATGTTCTCCACCCTATTATAGTTTTTATATATTTTGAACAAAGCTTAGTTTTTCCCCTATGTAGCCTCACACTGTCTCCAAGAGGACACACCTTGAAACACACACAGAGATGAAACAAAGAGACACTAAAATAAATGCTTTACAGTTGCTTCTTTGAGGGAATACTTTCCATCGGTATCTAGGTGCACCACGATCCAAAGTTTATCACGTGTAGGAGCAAGCACGTTGCAGGAGCAAGCTCACTTTAAAACAAGAAACTGCTGAAACAGAACCTATACCCTGGCCCCTCAAAAGATCTTTAAGGTGAATTTACCTGTAGAAAAGGTGCAGCCGAAAGGAGGGACTGGCATTCCCGTTCCCCCGTACGACAGGTGGTCATCTTCTCGGCTGCACTGGTAGCTGTCCAAGAGATGCTGCAGGGGAAGCGCTGAGGACCGGCCTACAACGGGACAGACGGACCGTAAGCGCCTCAGACCGCACAGGCTCGGGCGCCACGACCGCAAGGCAGCCGGGGATGGATGGGGACGGGAGGGCGTGCGGGGGAGCGCGGTACCGGACGGGAGGCGCGGTACCAGGGGGGAGGCGCGGTACCAGGGGGGAGACGCGGTACCGGACGGGAGGCGCGGTACCAGGGGGGAGGCGCGGTACCAGGGGGGAGACGCGGTACCGGACGGGAGGCGCGGTACCAGGGGGGAAGCGCGGTACCGGACGGGAAGGCGCGGTACCAGGGGGGAGGCGCGGTACTGGCGGGGAAGCGCGGCACCGGACGGGAGGCGCGGTACCGGACGGGAGGCGCGGCACCGGGCGGAAGGCGCGGTACCGGACGGGAAGGCGCGGTACTCACGGGAGGCGCGGTACTCACGGGCGGGCGCGGCGGCGGGGCGGCGGAGCAGCGCTTGGCACAGCATGGCCACAGGGACACGGCCGAGCCAGCTCCCGCCAAACCACCGGCCCGCCAAGCGAGCCGCGCGCCCTCATTGGTCAGCGCCTCTCGCGCCGCGCCTCGCCCGCCTCCTCTGATTGGGCGGCGCGGGGGTGGGCGGGGCGCGCCCGCCGCCGGTTCCCGCGGCCGCGCCGGGAGGGCGGGGTCGGGCGCGCGGCTGCGCGTGCGCGGAGCGGCGGCGAGCGGCAGCCATGGCGGCCAGCGCCAAGTCCTTCCTGGCCGACGCGGGCTATGGCGAGCAGGAGCTGGACGCCAACTCCGCCCTCATGGAGCTGGACAAGGGTGGGCCCGCGCGGGCTCGGCGTTGTCGTCGCCTTGGGCAGCGGGGCTGGGGTGGGGGTTTCGCTTGGTAGCGCTTTGTGCCGGGCGGGCGGCGGAGGAAGGAGGCGGGGCTGTGCGGTGATTCCTGCTGTCTCCTGTAGGCCTCAGGTCCGGCAAGCTCGGGGAGCAGTGCGAAGCCGTCGTTCGCTTTCCGAGGCTTTTCCAGAAATACCCGTTCCCCATCCTCATCAACTCGGCGTTCCTGAAGCTAGCCGATGTTTTCAGAGTGGGGTGAGTACTGCCCACCGGCCCTGTCCGTCCGAGTCTCATCCGCGGGAACGCGCTGTGCCTTGGAGTGCCGCTGCGTTGGGATCTGGCATGGCCTGCTTGCCTGCCAGCACCGTTGTGGTACCCAGTCTGTTGCAGTTGTGCTTGATTAGAACTTGTTTTCCACTTCTTTAGTGGGCTTGAGTGGCTGTGAGTAATGACACAGTTCCTTTCCATCTGTCCTGATTTGAGGATTCTCTCTCTGATTGTGTTAAGTTCACTGGTGTAAGTTTTGCTCCATAAGCACATTCAAATCATAACTCATAAATGGATGGATGATCACATGTGCAAATTTTAATCTCTAACAAAGCTTGAAGTATAGCTTTTCCAAGTGTCTGTTGTCTAAGTGATGTACATAATGTAATCAAAGCTCCTTCTTAAAAGCTTACAAAGGTGTATGCTGATGCTGTGGAATCTTCACTATTGTCTTCAGGAAGGAAAATAAATTTGCTCAGCACTTGACCATGGTAATTAAGACTTCTCTGTCTTAGTCTTGAATGTGTTTTTCCAGCAGATTTGGATCCCTGTGTGTGCACAAAACAGGCATCCTTACACCCTTCCTTACTGGTGTCAGCAAGTTCATTTCCCTGGAACTGGGCTTTAATTTGACACTACCTGAACTAGAAAATAAAGCAATAGTATGTTAATAGTCTCTATTTTATTCTATCAGTCTACTCAAATGTTTCTAAAGCATAGATATCTCCTTGTTTTAATTTGCTCCAAAAGTTGTAGTTAAATAATTTTAGTAGTTAAAGTACTTGAATTTTTGTTTCAAGATAGCTTGACAAAGAAACGTGTGTGTTTTCTAACAGGAACAACTTCCTGAGGCTGTGTGTGCTGAAAGTTACTCAGCAGAGTGAGAAGCACTTAGAGAAGATTTTAAATGTGGATGAATTTGTCAAGAGAGTTTTCTCAGTAATCCATAGCAATGATCCGGTTGCTCGGGCTATCACACTGCGGTATGTATGGCATGGGTGGTCTGACTTACTTCAAATCTGGTGAATGATTCTGATTTACTTCAAACCTGTAGGTCACTATCAATGTGCCTGTCTGGAATAACAAGACCAAGTGCAAGGCATTGCATCTGGGCCACAGCAACCCCTGGTATCAGTCCATGCTGGGTATGAACAGACCAAGAGCAGCCCTGCCCAGAAGGACTTGGGGGTGCTGGTGGATGAAAAGCTGGACATGACCCAGCAATGTTCACTGGCAGCCCAGAAAGCCAAATGTGTTTTGGGCTACATCAGAAAGAGTCTGGGCAGCCAAAGGCCAAGGAAGGGGATTCTGCCTCTCTGCTCCCCTCTGCTGAGACCCCTCCTGCAGTGCTGTGTCCAGCTCTGGGGTCTCCAGCACAGGAAGGACATGAACCTGTTGGAGGGAGTCCAGAGGAGGCAACGGAAGTGGTTTAAGGGATGGAGCACCTCTCCTGTGAGGAAATGCTGAGAGAATTGGGATTGTTCAGCCTGGAGAAGAGAAGGCTTTGGGGTGACCTAATTGTGGCCTTCCAGTACCTGAAGGGAGCCTACAAGAACAATGGAGAGCCTGTAGTGACAGGACAAGGGGAAATAGCTTCAAACTGAAAGAAAGTAGGTTTAGATAAGATACTGGGAAAAAAATCTTTATTATGAGGGTGGTGAGGCACTGGAACAGGTTGCCCAGAGAAGTTGGATGCATTCATGGATGCTTCATCCATGAAACTGTCCAAAGCCAGGTTGGATGGGGCTTTCAGCAACCTGGTCAAGTGGAAGATGTCCCTGCCTATGTCAAGGAGTTTGAAACTAGATGGTCTTTAAGGTCCCTTCCAACCCAGGCCGTTCTGTGATTTTGTGTGTTAAGTAAAGGAGGCTTTTTATACATTGCTCATAGAGTTAAAAGCAGAAACATCTGTCTTTCAAAGGCATGAATGATAAGGATTGGTTATAACAAGAACAAGGTAGTAACCACTTGTGATGGTGAGAATTTTGTGGATAAGTAGAACAAGGTTATTAACCATTTATGATGGTAAGAATTTTGTGGATAGTCCCAGGCAAAACAGAATTTGCAGTGTTGAAATTTTATGTACACCAGAGAAGAAAACTGAATCTGTTGTATGCATAACCCAGACAGGAGCTGTATGTGATATATCACATCTTGCTAGGATACTTTTAGACCAAGTGAAAGTGCTTCCTTTTGTGTCAAAATAGTTTTTGTTAACTTGCAACCAAAACTTACATGAACCTTGTTATGCTTGCACTATGCTTTTCATTCTGCCTTGTCCTAGCTAGAACTGCTAGTTGATCGCTGATCAATGACTTCTAAGGAAATGCTGTTATATTACTGATTGCTTTGAACTTCTGGGAATCAAGTGGGAAAACAAAATTAATCTGTCTTTCATGTCACTGTCCTGCTGGTTTGGTGTCTGTGTCTCTAATGCTATCCAACATGATCCTCTTAACTGCATCTTCCAGCCGCTGTGCAGGTGAATTCAAATGTGAAGAGAGCACTTGTCTTTCTTTCTTTATATTCTTTTTGTGCCTCCATCTGGAACTGTTACTGCTGGGAGATGGGAAGCATTAACAGGGCCTTGATTGATGAGGTCAAGTGTCCATTTCTTTTTTCTTTCAATATTGCATTTGAGGTTATGCTTTCATGCCCTGGTGTCTCAGAAATCCGTAAATGCAATATGTCTGCATGGTTTTTTGTAGTTCCACTTCAGTGCTCTAATACAAGATTGCAGTTGTTGACTGGCATTGAAGGTTATCTTCACAGGCTGCTACAAGTCCCAGGAATCCTCTCAGTTTGCATAAGTACTTTAATTACTGAATTCACAGGATGCATCAAATAAAATGTTAAAGTAGCTGTTGGTTCAGCAGTTTCAGTTTAAAATCTTCTGTTGATTTATTTTTTGGGCCTCCTTGAATAGTGTCAATAAAGAAGAGCAAGTTGAAAGAAAGAGCTGCTTAAACAAAACTTTGTCTGTGGAGTTTTATTGCTAGATAACTGTGTAAATATTTGCACAGAACTCTAGCTGAAATTACCATCAATATAAATCCTACATTTATTATTCTTTTAATTGGATTATGCTAAATATGCCTGTAAGCGCTCTTTGAAATATTTTTAGCAAAGTATAGGTTGATTTGCTGCTTTTTTAGCAGTTATACAAAAAGTGTTGCACTTTTTTCATTAATAACCTTATCTTACATCAGTGAAAGATGTTGGAAATAAATCATGCTATAGTGAACTCTTAATTTTAAAAGAATTTTTGTTGAGTTTCTCACTGTGCCAATTTCAAGCTAAAAGGTATCAAAATGGAATTAAATTTTATCAAACCACTGACACAACCCACATAACAAAATCTGTTACATTTAATTAGATGCTTAATTTTAGCATTTGCTTGTTTCTGTAATAGTCATGAAAGAGCACATATTTATATAAACATAGCCTTTTAACCAGTCTTTTTTACATTTTTATTTGGTTTCATTATTTCTTCATGATCACTGTTCTTCCTGATTTTGCTGTGATTTATTTCTGTAGGATGTTGGGCAGCATGGCTTCTATCATTCCAGAAAGGAAGAATGCACATCACAGTATTCGCCAGAGTTTGGATTCCCATGATAATGTGGAAGTTGAAGCTGCAATATTTGCTGCTGCCAACTTTTCTGCACAATCTAAGTAAGAACTATTTTTTTTTTACTTTTTCACATTACAGAGAATGGAAACTCCATTAACACTGGCATTCACAAACCTTACTATTTTCTGTTGTGCTGTCCTTTATAGAAAACAATTATGTGCAATAATGATGTAAGGAAATCTGAATACAAGTTCAGCAGATTTTTTTTCTTAAAATGGAAAGCTGTCAATCATGATTAAATCTACTGTTCTAGTTCTCAATCTCCTAAAATTATTTTACAGAAATTACATTAGCAAAATGTAGTGCTGCTTGTCAGTTTTTTAATGCCTTCGTTTTCTCATTTGGTCGTGCCTGTGTGCAGAGGTTCTGAAAAGACTTAGGTTTTGGCAGGTATTCTTTTGTGTAACTTTTAATTTGTTTGGTACTTCAGTCAATTTTTTTCCAGTTTTTAAGTACTTAATTTTTTATTTTTCATTTCACTTGGTACTTTCTTTTCTCCACAGGGATTTTGCTGTTGGAATATGTAATAAAATCAGCGAGATGATTCAAGGTACATGTGTATGTTGAATGATAAAGAGGGAAAACTTTAATTTCTCTGAAAATTCTTCATTATTCATATTTACATATTAGATATCAGAATGCTGTTGCCCTTAGATTATTCCATTTTTTAAATTAGCTGACCAATAGTCTGTCTGGTTATCTTAAATCCTCCTAAAATTTAAGTTTTCAAAGCACCTGTTTGGTACAGAATAAAAGCCCATCTGTAATGTGATGGATAAACTTGCATAGACTCTCATAGGTTGTTTCAGATGAGTTAATTTGTGTGTTACCTGCAGTGAAGCAAGGAGCAGCTTTCCCAAACCACCATGGAAGTGCTTGATAGTGTTGTCATTTCACACCTAGCTAGAACATGAGTTATTTGAAGCCACTGCACGTGTTTGCACAAATCTCCTTTCAGCAGTGGTAGCAAGCCAGATGTACTCTGTGCCTCAGAACTGCCAAAAAAAAGCCAGCCCAAGGACTAACTCTGTCTGTGTTTCTTTCCTTTTTGAGGTTTGGCCACACCTGTGGACTTGAAGCTGAAGTTGATCCCTATTCTGCAGCACATGCACCACGATGCCAGCCTGGCCTCCAGCTCCCGGCAGCTGCTGCAGCAGCTGGTGACATCCTACCCCTCCACCAAGATGGTCATTGTCACCCTGCACACCTTTACTCTGCTTGCTGCTTCTTCTCTGGTTGACATTCCCAAGCAGGTAACTCTTCCTAAGGCATGTCTTCCTCTTGAAGTACAAAGTACATTTTAAAAGCACTCAGATCCTGCCTGCTGATCAAAATAAACAGTGATGGCTGTGCTGGGTTGGTTGCTCCTATGTGCTTTCGAAGAAGAATACCCTGAAAACTGCTGCTGCTTTCATATTTTTTGCCTTTTCTGATTGTATTTTCAGGTGACTGTATCAAACACACTACACCTTTTTTACAGTTCATAATAGGTCTTTTTCTAGATCAAGGATTCAAATCAACAATGAGATTCAAATCAACATGGATAGATCAGCGTGCAGGAAAATAAACACCCTGACTTTTTCTGAAATAACTTCAACTTGCCTGTGGAAACCAGGCTTTATTTAGCACTTCTGTATATTGTCTTGGGTTGTGGGTGTCCCTTTTGCCTTTCTTTCATGCAAGCACATGAATATTTAATTACTTTAAACTTTATTTCTTGGATAATTTTGAGGAATTTCAATTGGTACTTAAATTCAGGACTATAAGCCAAGTAATGGAAAAGCAGTGGTGGAAAAATACAATGCTTTTTATGTTCTGATAATGAGCTTTGTGGATGTGATTTATAGAGCAGGTCTGAACACAGTGACACTTGAGACTCATCTAGTTAATCTTTGTAAAGGAGTCACAAAAATCTATTTGCTTTCTTTCTGCTCTGTACAGGTGTGCCAGGCTGGTGTCTGTGGTTTTTAGATAATGGCATTGGTCTGTCTGAGACTCTCTGCTGGGATCACTTCTGTATTTCAGATGATACTTCTGATGGTACTGAACCTAAGTCTACTGAAACAACATTAGAACACTTAATGTGCTGCTTTTATTTTTTTTAATGGCAGCAAACATGGAGATTTAGGCTGTATTTCTGCAGCACAGCAGCCAATATGGCATGAAACTGATGTAGCCAGGGTAGGGATGGAGACTAAAAACCAGGGCTGGCATGTTCAAGTTAGTTTAGTCTCAGTGTGCTCAACATTTCTTCCTGAGTGCTTTTGAAAATACTCCCTTCTAGTAGTGTCACTCTTAAGCACTGAAGTTTTTTTCTTGCAGATTCAACTTTTGTTGCAGTACTTGAAAAATGACCCCAGGAAGGCTGTGAAGAGACTTGCAATCCAGGATTTGAAGTTGTTGGCCAACAAGACACCACATACGTGGAGCAGAGAAAATATTCAGGTCTATATGTTTTTTTTAAGCTAAAGTTTATTATGAAACTTCCCAAGGAGTTGTAGAATTGTTTCCAGAGGAACAATTTGGCAGGTAAAGACAGGAATAATATGCATCTCTATGCCCTTAAATTATGTTACTCTGCCCGCAGACTAGACTAGCATTAATAATCAGCTCATGGAATCTTCAGTTGGGTAACACTCAAGGATTAAAGTTGAAGCATTATTACTGAGGGAAGGCATATACCATGTAGGAGGCTTTTGTACTGTGAGGAAGTAACTTTTCCATCTGACAAACCCATTTCAGGTAACAGATATGAGAGCTGAATGTTTAACACTGATCTTACCATGATGAGTACACACCAGTGCTCTAGTGCAAAATGGAGCCTTTGGGATTTGTCAAAACATGTCATCCAGCAAGGGGTACTTGAAAAGACAAATGGAATTTTGATTTCATTTCTTAGAATTAATGGGGGTTTTGCAATAGTACCCTTGTGACTCCTGTTGCGTCAATGAGAAGGTGCTTAAAGTGCACCTGTGCTATTTGGGGAAACTTGTGTTATATTGTCGGTACTACTGCTGCCTTCTTTCAATTACAGTTGCATATGAATTTTTTCTCCTTCCCCTTTTTCTTGTAGAAATGACTATGGAAAATAACTTCAGTTTAGATTAATGGGAAAGTAAATATTTCAAGAACTTAATGGCAGAGGATTACAGCTCTGCTTTTTCCTGGGTCTTTTTTTTCCTTGCTTTTTTTACTCTTGGAAGGTACTTGGATGATGTCCTGTTGGAGCATTAAGGCAGCTGGGAGGAAAAACTGTGCAGGTCTTTGTTAACAATCGTGTGAGAAATAAAGCAGGTTCTGCTTTGTCCCCAGGTCATGGAGATGATGGTTTGGAGTGTGCAGAGCTTTTTGCTTTAGTGAACTGCTTTATTCTTCATAATGGATTAACTCCATAAATTTATTTCCTTTCAAGAATTTTAAGGAATTATGGATTTATGGATTTTTTGAGAATAAAATGCTACTCCATCCCACATTTCATTAGTAGTTATCTCAGTACAAGTGAGAGACATTTATAATGTGGCTTTCATTGTCATGTAGTATTTTGCAGTAAAGTGGGTGTCCTGGTGGTTGAAATGCATAGGGAAAAGTTCCACTGATGTCAGAACTTAACCAACGACTAGGTGAAAACAAAACTACTTGTCTGAAGCTTGCTACTCCTTGCTGAATGGCATGCAGAAATAATCAGAGTTTTTCTGACTCCTGAAATAACAAGTTGACATTTTGAGTTGGGAAGTTGTTCTCCCAATAATTGGGAGGTAATATAAACAAAATACTATGTTACACAACAGGGACTGGAAGAAACCCTCCTTTTCCCATGGCAAGGCCTGCCTCTTGTACCTTTTTACCAAGAAACATTAAAATACTAAGCATTTTAGGTCTGTCTTGTGTAGGTCAGTTGGGAAGTTTGGTTTTTGCACTGTGGAGGCTTCACTGATTTCTAGGCATCAGCTTCAGAAGCTGTTGCTGCCTAGAGCAGTCCATCCTGCTAATTCCTCTGTGCTGCTGGCAGTCTTCACAGTCACTGTTTCAGATACACCCTGAGAGCTGATCTGATAGTGCTGGAGTAAAACATCAGTGTCTTGGGAGACAGATTTCTACCACAATCATTAGATCTTCCTCTGCCTGTTGATGCCATTCTATTCAGTGGATTAGCAAAATACTAACTGGTACAAATCACAGATATGCTTAGAATTTAACCCTTCCACAATACATATACCTGATAAGAACACTGTGGGGTTTTTTATGTTCTCTGGATCTAATTGTCTTGTTTTTCTTTATTCCATTACTGGCTCTTTGTCATTCAGTTTTGGCACACTCTAAAGCAGAATATACTTATATTTTCTATTTATGTCTCATATTACTGTCCCTCCTGTTGACTAAAAAGGCATCCAAAACCAGTGAATGACTAAACTGTGGGCGATGTTGGCATAAGGAATTGAGAACAATGTGCATTTTAAGAGTTATTCAAACCTAAATGTGATAAGGCCTGTGATAAGATCTGGCAAAAGGCATAAAAGTAAGACATGTGTTCTACTACAAATGAGTTAAAACATAAAATACACTTTAATTTATTTATCAAGAACCTTAAACTCCTGTTGGACACCAGTGCTGCAAAAGGAAATGACACTTGAAACCTTGTTCTTCATATAGAACCTTGCAGATTGTTACAATGCAAAATAATCAGTATGCCTGAAACTGTCTTAAAATCTTTTATAGTATTGGATCAATGAGACCAGATAATATTTTTGCCACTGATTTTTAATTAATGAATGATTTATAATTGATGTTTCCTAGCATATGGGACCCACTGTCACTTTTCTGCAAGCCACATCTTCAGTCTCTAAACCAGATGCTTGAGGACTTGGCTTTTGATTTTTGTATGGTATTTACTGTGGGAAAATACTGATTCTTAAAACTTCTCAGAGAAGTGCAACTAAATTCTTCATACAGATAGCTCGTGCTACTTCTTACCTCTGTATTTTTTTCCTGCTGATTTTTAGGCACTCTGTGAATCTGCTCTTAACACTCCTTATGACAGCTTGAAAATGGGCATGTTATCTGTTCTTTCCACGTTATCAGGGACCATTGCCATTAAACAGTACTTCAGCAGTGCTCCAGGTAAGAAAGCTGGATTAGATTTAAATAATTTTAATAGGCATTTTAATAGCTTGGTTTTCTGCTGCTGGTCAGTTTCATCTAAACACTTTGTAGCATTTTCTAAAACTATTTTTGAACTTGACAACGCTGAGAGTCAGACTATTCATCATTTGTAAACTTAAAATGCGATGCTGTATAATCATGAATAATGGTTTTGTTTTGTGGGTACTTATGGTATCTGAAAAGAGTTTTTGCCTTTGGGTCTTCAAGTTTTCTTCATTTTGTGAAGGAGCATATTGCCTCTCAAATGGCTGACCTGCATTCTGCTTAAGGTGCTTTGAAACCATGGATTTGCACAATTTTTGAGTAGTAGGGAGGCTTCATGGTGTAAGAGTGGACTGGCATGTTACTCTGCCACCCTTGTGGGCTTTTGACCTACAGCAGTACCAGATGCACCTTTCTGCTTTGTGACAGTAATCTGGAGAAATTGTAGGAAAAGAGTAGACATTTGAAGGTGATTCAAGGTATCTTGTTCTCAATATTATAATCACACTCTTTTTTTTTTTCTTCTTGAAAACCAGACTGCCCAAATGAGTGTTATAAGCTCAAGTACATGGGCTGCAGAAATGGAAAAAAAAATTAGTACATCCTCTTCAGTCATTCTGGCATGGCTTAATAATTAATAGACTCACCAGCTTCTTTTAATCAGACATAATATTTCTTAAGGCAATATTTCTCTGAGTCCTGAAACATCAACCTTTAGGTCCAAATGTTCTTTCTCATGTGTCTAACTTGTGTTCAAGAATGAGAGTCTCTGGGTTTGTCTGAAGAGAGAAATATATTTTCATCCTATCGTTTAAATATAAGAAAAAACCCTAAATCAATATAATGGTTTTGCAGAAATGTACTTAAAGATCTGTGGTATATTTATAGACTGTGCAGTTTTATGTTCCATTTGCCTTGCTTTTATTTAGGAGCAGCAGCTACAACTGCAAGGTCATTTGATTTGGTAAAACTAGCACAGGAGTGCTGTTACCATAATAACCGTGGCATTGCAGCTCACGGAGTGAGAATTCTGACCAATATTTCAGCCTCTTGCCAGGAAAAAGGTAAGGGAAAGCAAGGGCAGTGAACTGGCTCTGTTTACAGTCAGGCTTATGCACTTACCATGGATTACCTCGTCCTGTCCGTGAACCTGGCTGTAAATCTGTCTGATCCCTCATGCTGGCTGGGGAGAATGGGGACTGCAGTCTAGTAGGGAATACTCTGTATGGTCTTAGGAATGTTTGGGAAGGTTCCATCTTTGTCTCATTTAGAGAAAATTTCTGCCCACAATAGAACTCATGGTAGATGAATTCTTGTTTTACCTTTGCTGTAAGACTAGTTAATTGTTGGTCAGCCTTTGAAAGCCCTTTGTACAGAGCCTGTTGCAAAATAATAACAGGGCATTTAGAAGTCTTAGTCCCAAGATTTATGCATGCTTTTCAAGTGTCAGGGGGGTGGCTGAATAGTTACCCGAAACGTGGAATGGCAGAATTGTTTCTCATCAAAGTAAGGCAAAGCAGAAGTGTTGGGAAGATTCTTAGTTGTCATGACTGCAGCAGCAGTGCAAGCATTACACCAACTATGGTCAGAGAACAGAACAGAGAATAAACTAACTTTCTCTTTTTGTAGATCTTCTGCCTTTGGAGCAAGATGCAGTTTTTGGCTTAGAGGCTCTTCTTGTTCTCTGTAGTCAAGATGACAGCCCAGGAGCTCAGGCAACCTTAAAGGTGACTTTACTGTTGTCTTCCCCTTCACAGATGTAAGTTATAACAGCTTGTATAACAGAGGCTGGTGTGCACCAGATCCTTTCTGGTGGAAGCATTACAGACTGGAGGGAAAAGAGTCTTTTTCTGGTTTGTCCATAATCAGAGTTCAGAACAGTAGAGAAAGTGAGCATAGCTATAGTACAACTCCTCTCAGCTCTAGGGTAAGAGGATTGCTGCAGGTGGCAGGGAGCATTCATCTCAGAGGAACAGCTCTAATAATACATGAACATTGGATGGAGTTGTCCCTGGAGGACAATGAGGACCCTGGAGACAACTTGCTTTTTGGAGATGGAGATGCAATGTACATTATCACAACATTTTTATAAATAATTATTCTTATTTTCTCACTTCAGAAACCATCAGTAATTTTTCTAGTTATTTACCTTAAGGCTGGTGGTGTGAGAGACTATTAATGTTTCTTGAATTTGTGATGTGTTTTAGTGCTGGTAGCTCAGGGACAAAGACTTGGGCTCTTGGAGAAATCTCACCTGCTGTAGAGTGCATAGTTCTGAAATACTATCTGTGTGTTTCTGCAGTCCTGATTGCAGCTAAGTAAGTGTGCCTGGCTTTTCTGGTTTTGAGGACATTGTGTTGATGGTACCTGTGGACTGTGTGGTTGCAGATCACGCTGACCTGCATGGTGAAGCTGGTGAAGTGCCGCCCTCACCTGAGCCAGTCCGTGGTGGAATCGCTGCTGGCACAGCTGCACAGTGCCCAGGACAATGCCAGGATCCTCATGTGCCACTGCCTGGCAGCCATTGCCATGCAGCTGCCTGTCCTGGCAGATGGGATGCTAGGAGACCTAATGGACCTCTATAAATTAATTGGACAATCTGCTACAGATAAAAAGCAGGAACTCTTGGTAAGACCTCCGTTGATGGATAAAGTCTGTATAAACAACTGGATTTTAAAAGGCAGCTAAGGCATTTTTTATGTGTCCAGGTTGATGTGTCAGTCTGTAGCTACTAGTTTCAATTTTGTTTTAACTTCTGACTCCTTGAAGCTGTAGTATGCAGTGTATTCCATTAGATTTTCCAGCAGATGGCACTGCTTAGGCAAACCTGGATATTGAAATTATTGGGGTATCTCTAAAGTAGTGTTTAAAGGCCAAATGGCAGCTAGCTCCATTTATATTGCCATTTATATAAGCAATGACTTAATATACTGTAAGAGAGATAAATGCTTTCATCTCATCTACTTCGAAAAGAATTTGAATTTTAAAAAAGAAATTACAAGCTTTCTACTAATTTACTTGGAGCATTTGAAATATTTCAGCTAAAAGGCAGAGTTGAGATTCTTTAAATGAAAGTTACTTTTATCTACAAGAAATACTTGGATTGCTGTAACTGCTTAAAATGTATATGACTGAGAAGTTTTGCAGTTAAAATATATCTATATATATGTGATCTTCTATGTAGTTTTGAGCCCAAAATAAAACATGTCTTTTTTTCTTCTTTTCTTTAGTTACTGAAATATAACTTTCTTTCTCATTCATCCATTCTCTACTAGGTTTCTCTTGCCACAGTGATCTTTGTTTCCAGTCAGAAAGCTTTGTCCACAGAAATCAAAACTGTTATCAAGCAGCAGCTTGAGAATGCCTCCAATGGATGGACAGCCTACAGGATAGCCAGGCAAGCTTCCAGGATGGTAAGTGAAAATACTTGGAGAAGAATGGTTTGCTGTGTTTGAAGGAATGCCAGGGACTTCTTTGAATGGGATAAGGAAATAAGGAAAATCGTAGGACTTGGGGGAAAGAAGTGAATTGGAGAAGAAAATAAAAATCACTTTCCCTCATAATTCCCTGGAATGCAGACTCAGATATATGTCATTTGGGACATTCATCCCAACAAAATGGTTTTTTCACTTGTCCTTTTGAAGTATTTGAGAAGGAAGTAAGTGATATCCTGGCACTTTCTTGAGCACATACCTAATCTGTATTGTCTGACTGCTCTTCAGAATGTGAAGGTCACCTTGATGTATGGTTCTCTTTCTTCAGTGTGAAGAAAGGAAAAAAAATACACTGTTCCCCTTTTCCCTTAAGTAAATTCACAGTTGGGTTAGAATTACACAGAAACCCTAGTATGAGATGCTGAGGTAAATTTCCATTTTTTTTCCTCATCTTATTGAACTATCTTGTGTAAATAAATACTATACTTTTTTTTAGGCTGGTATTTCTATAAAGTAAGCACTTGTGCTTTTATTTATTATTAGCATTGCCACAATCAGATAATTGGAAAAAGTTTCACTACTTCTGTTTTTAAGCTGGGAGTAGCTCTGGTGATCCTGCTTTCTTATTTGTGTAAGTTTTGTAGAGATCTTTGCCTTCTTCCACATCCCCTTTCCAAAACATTCTTGTCATTACAGGGCAACCATGACATGGCCAGAGAACTGTACCAGAGCTTGCTGACCCAGGTGGCTTCAGAGCACTTCTACTTCTGGCTGAACAGCCTGAAGGAGTTCTCCCACGCAGAGCAGTGCCTGACAGGCCTGCAGGAGGACAACTACAGCTCCGCGCTCTCCTGCGTTGCTGAAGCCCTGAAGTCCTACCACAAAGGCATCGCGTCACTGACGGTCAGCACACGTCTCCAGTGCTGATGTTTCTGCAGCACAGTCTTTGGGTTCTGTTCTTAACTCTCTGAAAAGTTCTTGGACATCTCTGGCCTCTGCCAGACTCAGTTTGGTTCTCCTCTGCAGGCATCTCAGTTGTAACACACTTCATCTTGGGAGAAAAGATCTGTAACTCAGCCAAGTGTGATTAGCTAGATTGCTCTTCTTGGTTTTTCTTCTCCCTCCACCCCTCATTTCCTGCCTTGATCAGATCAAATGAAATATGACAGATCTTGTTGAATTAAAGTTACAATACCTACAGTTTTCCACTCCTTGCTTTGGGTGAATAAAAGCTGTTGTAATAGTCAAGCCTGGGAATTGGCCTAAATTGGCTGCTGTCTTCTTGAAATATAGAGAAGGATTCAATTGTCTTCCTCCCTCTTGCTGAGTTGCCTTCCATTTGACAATATGATCTCCATGATCTCATGGAATCCTAAAAGCAATCTAGTAAGAAGAGGAAAGACAATTCAGTTTCATAAATCCAACTGGTACCTGCTTTTATGCAAAGACCCATCATTCTTGAAGTGTTTGTCTTTAACTGTTGGCTGAGTGAATCAGGCTGTTAATTCAACACTTCCAGATTTCTCTAACATCAAGAGGACATTGAGAGGGAGACCTCATCTAATTAGATGTTAATATTTAATACAGGCAAGAAAATAACATACCTTAATAGATCATACTGTGATCCAGTAATTTAATTACTCCTTCCATGGAGGTTGGGGCTTTTTTTCTGTTGAAGGATTTCTGTTGTCATCTCTTCTGCTGTCTTCAGTTCCTGTTGCACATAGTGCTTTTCTGGGCACAGTGCCCTCCATATGGGTGGTTGTGGTCCAGAGGAGTGAGTACAGATTTTGTAGGTTAGAGGGGAGGAAGTTGGGTTTTTACTGCTGGTTGTTGCTGACTTGTTGCATCACTCTGGGCAATTTCCCAGCCGTGCTTGAGTGTACCAGCTCTAAAAGGAGCCACTCACTGCTTGTCTATAGAGCTCAGCCTCTCCAAGGGGAACAAAGTGCCATAAAATGCATGTGATGTGCTGCAGCCTTGCTGCTGAAGGCTTTTGCTCTCTTTCCTCTGACTTCAGCTTTCCTGCTGCTGCTGTTTCAGTGCAGAGCATGATTCAGCACTGCTGGTACCACAGACCAGTGGTGCATGTGATGACTCTTGTGTAGCTGCTCCAATTTGTAGCTGGAAAACACAGTGTCAGTAAATCTCTTGCAGATGTTCAGCAAGCCCAGTTTAGCAACGATGAAACGTTCAGACAGCACCTTGTTGGAAAATTTCTCAATTCCTCCTCAATAAACATAAAACTCTGTCTTGCACTGCAGAGTGTTCTATCATTGGAGTTAGTGCTTCCTTGAGGGAAGGAAGTCCCTCTGCTTTATGGATAAGAGGTTCTCCCTGTGGGAGAACAGGGACTTGTCAGGGAGCATACTGACCACAGTCCCATCTGTCTTGCTGTGTGCCTGGTTGTAGAGTTAGCAAAGGTTTTGCATGGGTCCTGCTCTTTCTAGAACAGAGCCAGTGTCTCATTGGAAGCATTGGGTTTATTTTTCACTGCTGGTAATCTAAAGAAGATAGAAAACTTGAACAAAGCAGCTGGTTAAGTAGCACCAATTCCAAATATGTTGAAAGCAAGTGGTGGTGTTTGAAGAACTTGTCTGAACCAGAGAAATACTTCTGCCACTTTCAGAAAGAATTGTAACTCCCTTACTGCCCATGACAGATAAGGTAAATTGCAGTATTAATGAGACAAGCTTGTATTTCCATTTACAAGATTCAAGTCCAATTTGTGCTATAAAAATGTCTGGATTTTCTGATAGAAGTACTTTACTCTTTAAAAGCATGTAGACTCTGTAGGGAAATTACAGAGCAGTGTAGCCCTCTTCCACTGAGGGTTTTCTGAAACCATCTTGCAAAATAACCTGAACAATTCCAGTTCAAAAAGGATTTTTTTTTTGTGCCCTTGGAGAAGGAAAAGCAAAGTGATAGATAAGAGAGGCTTAATGGTTTAAATATGAAATAGTCTTATTTTTTCAGTTGAATTCAGAGTTCAGTTGTTTAAACTGGTTGCAGTGGGTTGTTTCCTCACTTAAATCTGTAGTGGGCCAGTTCTCAGAGGATATGATGCTTTGTGAGAAACCAGTTTAGTTGTTTTTCTGTCAGCAAAGAAATGGTTCTTAGTAAGGTTTTGGGGTAGATTATAACTTTTTGCTTTGAGAAATGACCTGGTAAGGAATAAGAAGCACTGGGCAAGATAGACATGTGTCTAAGTCCCAGTGCATTGTTTCTGGAGAGGGCGTGTTCTTCTCAAAATCCAACAATTTAAGAAAAATAAGTAGTGGATTTTTGGCTTAACTAGTATCAAACCTTGAGTGCTGCAGTTTACCCCCTCGTGGGTGTCCTAAGCTGTCACAGATGCTTGTACAAGTCAGATAAGCTCTTAGGGAGCAAAGCTTCATAGAACTGTATTTTCTGAACAATAGCAGCTTGTCTACCCTCATGGAATTTTGTTATTTACTGTTCTTAGTTACCACTAGACTGTGTCTCTTGCCTTCATCAAGTGCAAGGTTCAATGCCTTCATAATGTTTCAATCCATTTCACAGTTCCAAAAAACATCACCCCTTGCTCTTGCTGTGGTAACTTGAGCCAATTCCTTCTCTTCTGGCTGATGCAGAGAATCACTTTTTCACTCCTTGTGTTTCTTGTTTGCCATCCAATTCAGTGTAGTTTTTCTTACGGTAAAGACTATCTGGTCTAATGTCTCTTGAAGCCTAATGGCTTGGCCTTGGAAAAAGAGGATAGGTGCCCTAATAGTATTTTAACAGCTTAAGTTACATTAGTTACAATGGTGACATGCCTGGAACTGACTTGGTAATTATGCTTTGGACTGACTTTGTAATTATGTAACTTCTATGTCATTTATATTTAGTATGATTGAAATTGAGCAAACCTGCTAAATGTAGCTTTAAAAAAGCAGCTTTTAGAATTGAACTTGAGGGTTCAGTTTGCTGATGAGACTGTTCCGTGACACTGCAGTGTAATTTTATCATTTTTGCTATTGACCTAGTTTGCCAACGTTCCTATTACTGTGTTTCAGGCTGCTAGTACACCACTTAATCCTCTGAGCTTTCAGTGTGGATTTGTGAAACTCAGGATTGACCTTCTCCAAGCTTTTTCTCAACTCATTTGTACCTGCAACAGCCTAAAAACAAGCCCACCCCCAGCTATTGCCACAACAATTGCTATGACATCGGGAAATGATCTCCAGAGGTGTGGCCGCATCTCCAACCAGGCATGTGCTCCCCTTCCACTCTTGTGCAGTTATGTTTGTGACTCCAGAATGAATTTTGCTTCTCAGCAAACATATTTGACAAAAGACATGAAAAGTAGTTGTGAAGTGGACTTTGGTTTTCCCCTGTAGCTCTGAAAACACCTGCCTGTAGCAGGCCGTGTTTTGAAGCTGAATGTGCACGTGTGTTTTCTCCTCCAGTCATGCACACAGCTTCCAAGGATATGCATGTAGCAAGTCACTTAGTACACTCAAAACCTGCTGCAAGGCTTTTCACACCTTGCTTTGAAACACCTCAGACACTCTGAGTACACTTAAGGAAGACTATATATACCTGAGGGTGATGCTGCAACTCCTTATGCTGAGAGTTGGCAATTGCCAGCTCTCCATACGGAACACCAAGGAGGTTTGCTTCTAAATCCAAGTAGTCTGCAAGAAAGAACCATTGGGTGGTCATTAAAAGACAGAGCAGTTTGCTTTACTAGTAGGGGATGGAGGAGGTTGTTGATGGAGTTTTTTTCTTTTGCTTTGTTTTTAACCCAAGGAGATTTTGTTGGTGCAGGAAATATACCTGTTTAATGCATGGATAAGCATCTGTCACTTTGGCAAACATTATCTGAGTGAAGAAGCAAGAACTTCATAAATTTTTCTCCAATGTGCCACTTTATTCCTTCAGTGTTGTATATTACAGTGTTGTGGTTTTCTGGATGTGTGGGGTTTTGTTAAGCTTTGCTTTCTGTTTTTGCCTGGTAACATTGTCTCTGCAGATGAAACACTCAATGGAGGAATTCCGAAACTTGGCTACACGGTATGGAGACCTCTATCAGTCATCTTTTGATGCAGACTCAGCAACTCTGAGGAATGTAGAGCTGTATCCTTTAAAAATCCTAGGGTTTGTCCACTTTCCTTCTCATGTGCACAGCATGAAGAATAAGAATCTTCTTTTCTTTGAAGACTGCCACAAAGTAATTTTGAAAGTTAATTGTTTAAAACCTAATTGAAAATAAACATTACCATACTATTGTTTAGAATTACTTGATAAACAAGTTACGAGACAAAAAGTGGAACAGCTTATAACTTGGTGCTTTCACAGTTCTTGCTCTCTGTTCTCAATGAGTAATGACTGTAAGATTACTTCACAGAAGCAAGGAAAAGTTCCACTAAATACACTGCATTCCTTGCTTTAGGTGCCAACTTTGAAAGTCTTTTAACTCCTTAGTATTAATAACAGACAACAGCAGAGCTGCCTGTTGATTTCACACGCAATAGAAGCTCTGATTTTGGATCCAGAATCTGCAAGGTAGGTTTGATAGTTAACTGCATACTCCTGTTTTGCTTATTAATAAATCCTTGGAGCTTTAAACCAAGGAATTCAAGGAATGTTCAGAAAGTTTCTCAGTAGACATTGCTAATTATATTCTGAGCAAGCTTGAGGATCTGTTGCTGCTGTGCTGTACCTGGCAGATTGGGGACTCTCTTTTGGGTTCTGCATTTCATACTGATTTTGCTCTTGAGAGCACTATACTAGAGTTATCTTTAATATAGACTTAAACTTCTAATTTCTCCTTTAGCCACTTATTTTAATTTGTGTTGTTGTGTGTTAGATCCCATACCTGTAAGTGCACCTTAGTTTCCTTCAATGTGGTGAAAATACATGCACTAAATTAGTTCAAATTTTTAATGTAAAGCCATCACCCCTGGCTCGTTTTCTAACAGTGACCTTAAATCCACTAGAAGACAGCACTGAAGTACTGATGAATCACTGTTTAAAACTCCTAGGCTGAGATTAAATAGAAAATACTGTGGATAAAATCTCTCAGTGATTTTATAGCTGCTAATAAAAGTGAACATCCTAAGTGACTCATTATTAATTAAGCATTGCTTAGAAGGTGTGTTAGTCAAATTTGTATGAAGCTGGATGTCTATGAGATGGAATTCTATTCAAAGGAGGAGATGATAAACTTCAAGATTAAGTTATAATTCTCACTGGTGTTCTTGCTTTGTGTTGAGAGATTTTCATGACTGTTACAAACACTGCAGGGTTAAAAAAGCCAGGGGAAGTAAGTGTGCTGAGTCTGTTAGACCTGTCACTGCTTCAGCTGTGAGGGTGGGGACAGAAAGTGGTGAATAAATATGTAAAGGGAAAGTGTTATAGTGGAAAAATAATTTAAATAACAGAGTAAACAGTTTGAAAGACATTCCTTAATGGATTTCATGCTGTAATGTCTTGTCACATCTGTTTGGTAGTGTGCCTTCCAGGTTATGATGAGGAAAGTAAGTTAGACTTAATGAAAAATTTCTCTCTTTTTTTTTTAAGTTTCCAGGAATATAGCTCAAATGGAGCAGCTCATGTTGAAAGTGAATATGAAAGACGAATGATGTCTGTATTTAATCATGTACTAGAGGAAGTGGAATCCCTCAACAGGAAGTATGCTCCTGTGTCTTACTTGGCAAGTAACAGTTTTAAATGCATCTTGTGTAGAGAAAGGGGCCAAAACCCCAGAACTGCATATATCTGTGGTTGGCAAGAAACTGGGAAGCATTCTCAGTTAATTAACATTACTGACACAAATGGTCTCTACAAAGACACACTTGTTTAAAAATACTTGAAGAACCATTTTGCTAAAACATCTGTAACCTTACTGGTCTGATTAAAAATAATCTTTTTAAATTTTCCATCCTAAGAGCACAGCAGATGCTGATAAGGTAGCTACAAGTACTGTCAGGTCTGTGTCAGACCCCTCACCACACTCCATGCAAACACTGGAGCATGTTCTCCTCGCTCATGTTCTTGCTGTGTAGGAATTCTCCTGCCCCCCACAGCAGCCTAGCTTTGGTCCCTGGTGGTGAACACTGTGCTCTGTGAGTGTAGCATTTCTCTTACCAGTGCAGGGCATCAGAGAGCACAGTGTGGAGTGTGCTAGTGCAAACTGGGAGCTGATAATGCTCTCCTTTACAAAGTTGGTGCCTTTGGCTCTTGCTGCTCATGAGCATCCTAAAGCTGAAGTGCATGTTAGTGGGAACAAGGTGGTTCATCATGGTTGGCATCTATTTGCCTGGTTTCTAAATCCTACAGTCCTTACCAATTCCAAATAGAGTAGAGGAGTAAATCATGTAAACCACAGCAAAGGTAAACCCTGTGAACTCGGTTGTGGCTGGCTGCACACCAAGGCAGCTTGGTGACTCCAGTGGCTCTGCTGGTGTTCATCTGAACCAGAGGCATGGTGCAGCAGGGAAAGGAAGATTAGACAAGAGGCTTAAGAATTACTGCATTAAGTTGTGATAGATGCCAGTCTTTTTGCTTGGAGGGGAGTTGTTATTTGAGGGTTTGTGTGTAGGAGTGTTTCAAGCAGATCCTGCTCTGTCAACTCTAACACTAGGACCGGAAAGATTTGTGTTTGTCTTTTGCTTGACCTCCTTGGTTTTTTTCCAGAGCAGAATACCTCCTTCAATAAGGGGCAGAACATAAACAGAGAGGCTGAATATAGTCATTGTAATCTTAGTGGCTATAATTCTACTACTGTATTAGTATATTTTTTGACTTTAAGTGGAAATTCCTTCTGTTTCAGTACCTCAAGTACATGTCTTTTTCCTGTGTCGTAAATGATATTTTTCCCAATTGTTTTGGCTCTTGTTTCTTGCAGCATACAGCTTGTCTGTGCAATGCTGTCATTGCCTTGTTGAAGGTGCCCCTTTCATTTCAAAGGTACTTTTTCCAAAAGCTGCAGTCTACAAGTATTAAGGTAAGTACTGCTCAAATATGGCCTCAAATTTCTTTAGAAAGTCTTTACTTCATGAGAAAAGCCCTAGTGAAGGCACAGAGCTTAAGGATTTTTAGTGAAGATGCATAACTGCAAGTAGCATTTGGGTTGATCTGTGAGGAGTAACTTGAATAGCATGTATGTATGGTTGTTCAGAGCCACTAGACTGTCACTTAGGCAAGCAGGATTCAGTTCTTTGATTGCAAAGTCTTAAAGGTAAAATGTACATGTACTTTTTGTTGATTCTGAGTCTGCAAAGCTAAATAAATCTAGTCCTGGGAGCTTTTATAGATTTGTATTTGTTTTATTTTTCCCTTTTCCTTTAAAAAGCAATATTCATTATCTTAGAAGAAAATTGTCCTACATATCAGCTCACTGACTAAGAACGACTATATATGACTAAGGTCATGGGTGTTTTTTTTGTTTTACTCAAGTGCTCTCTTTTTCTGGGAAAAGTGAAAGTCTTAAGTTTTTAATATTTATACTTACTCCATTTTGCTTCTTTGTTCAGTTAATATACCTATGGCTGTTCTGTGGAAGATTTTTTTTTCCACATCTTTTGAAGAAGTGAAGTAAATGAAGCTGATACAAAGATAATATCTGGTATTGCTGATAATGATTAGTAAATAATATAGTAATGAGTCTCTGATAATGTGTGTGTTTCCATTTGCTGAATTTCCTACCCAGCCTCTCATTGGAAATTTTTCTATGAAAGGTGTCCTGTTTCATGCTTGAAATTTTGTTTGCTTTTCTGGAGGCTTGCAATTACATTTTGATCTGTTACTTGTGTTCCAGCTTGCTCTATCCCCATCTCCAAGGAACCCAGCAGAGCCTATAGCAGTACAGAACAACCAGCAGCTGGCCCTCAAGGTGGAAGGAGTGGTTCAGCACGGATCTAAACCAGGCCTTTTCCGTAAAATCCAGTCTGTCTGTCTGAATGTCTCTTCAGTGCTGCAGAGCAAATCTGGACAAGACTATAAGGTGTGGATAGAATAGAGCCAAGAGGAGTCTTAAGCTTTTTTTGCTGTGTTTTGCTGTTCTTTTGTTTGTTTCTGGGTAGCAGAATTTCCAGGATGAGATGAATGGGGGTGGTTCTGTAATCCTTTCACTCCTGCCAGTTGACATTCAAGCACTGGCCAGAGCCAAGCATAACTTGTGGAGAGGATCTGGGATTTTTAAGTCTGCAGTATGTCAATACCTTTTTGTAACAGGTCTTCTTCCAAACAAAGAGGCTTTGTGATGTTCAGAACAAGTCATTAGGAATCTTCCTGAGATGAGGAAAACTCAGCCTAGTTATAGATCATAAGGATCCACAAGGGAAAAAAAAAACTGAACCAGGAGTAGATTAATTTCTACCACATAGTCGCCAGAATTTTTTATAGTCATTTTAAGGTTCTTTTATTTTGTTTGTGGAAATTGTGAGGACAAACTGTCCAAATCAAATAGCATCTGAGGAGACACACATTAAACTTAAGTCAACAGTTTTATCAAAGGTTGCATGCCTGAGGTTTAGGTTCTTCTAATGTGATACTTAGTGAAAGGCCTGTTTTGGTGGGTTTTGGGGTCAGGTTTTTGTTTGTTTTGTTGTTTGGGGTTTTTTGAGGGAGAATAGGAGAAAGTCAATGGTTAGTAAAAGAACAGGACTAGGAAGTGTATGACGTTTGCCTCGCATTAGTTTGTGGAACAGTAGAACCTCAGGTGGAAGATGACTTGTTAACTTGTCAAGCTGTCTCAAGTATGCACATGTATTGGTTTAGGAGAATTGGGAACAGATTTTTCCTTTTTTCTCCTCTTTCCTTCAAGTGGAGAGCTGAAAACTTACTTTTGGCAAGTTATGTAAAATGGTGTTTTAACCTTCCATCTGCATTCTCAGATTCCTCTTGACAGCATGACCAATGAAATGGAGCAGAGGGTGGAACCGCACAACGACTACTTCAGCACTCAGTTCCTGCTAAACTTTGTGATCCTTGGCACCCACAACATCACCGTGGAGTCCTCTGTGATAGACTCAAATGGTATTGTCTGGAAAACTGGGCCTAAAACAACTATTTTTGTGAAGTCTCTTGAGGATCCGTACTCGCAGCAGGTTCGTCTCCAGCAGCAGCAGGGACAGCCCCCGTCGCAGCAGCAGCAGCAGAGGAGCGCGTACTCACGCTTCTGATGGCCACAAGTGACTGTCCTGGGCAACTGGTATTGCAGGTTTTCTTGGACACTTCTTTTTTAGATTTTTTTTTGAAGACTTTTTATTACAACCTTCTCCTGGAAAGTCTCAGATGCCAGTTTGTTGCTTCTTAAATTACGTGGGGTAAATTTGAACTTGATTCAGCAGAGGCAGCTGTTCAGATTTGGAGTTGTGCTCTTACTATAAGAACTTCTACCTGATTTTTAACTTCTGTTTACAAACCTGTTCCAGCAGGTTCCACAAACTACAATAGCAGGAGACACTAAGCTTGTCGACTGGTACTTTCCATGCTGTTGCTTTCTGAAGCACATAGGTTCTAATGTCAGGCTTACAGGACATTGGGAAACACTTCACTTTGGCTGGTTATACTGAAATGAGTGTAATTCCAAGTGTGTATCTTTTAATGTGAAGGAATTGGCTGGAATATCCAGATATTCTTTTTCTGATATCTTAATAGCAAATTCTAGTATTTGGCTGGTGTATGTATGTTACTAAAATTCTTCAGCACTAATTAATGCATGCAGCTGGAAGAAAAAAAAAATGCAGTTCAATTGTGATACCCAGTCACTGCAGAGGGAAGAGATGGCTTGAGGGGTTGCTGTCTGGGGAGTCTTGCAGCAGGCAGAGTTTTACAGGTGGGAATAATCACTGTCTCTCAGATGATACGGAAGATATTACCATGTTGTTTTTAAATTTTTATGGATTTGTATTTCTGAAACCTTTTGTTTTGTTGGGGTTTTGTTATTTGCTCTTTTAAGAGGGAAATTAAAAAGAATGACAGCTTGCAAGTTAACAGCTTTGTTTTATAAAAGGAGTCCTTGTACCAGAACTTTGTAATCTTGTGTGTTCTTTGACCAACTTGCTAAGCTTAGTTGTTAATGTTACAGGACAACTTGAAATAGAATTTTGCCAATTCTAGAAATTGATCCAGAATAATTTTGGAAATACACTGCTGCATATATAATTTTCACGCTTCCTTTGTGATATAAAAGGCTGAACTGTATCCAGAATCACAGGGAGTGGATGACATAACCTTCATAAAGTCTTCATAAATAATCTTCATAAATAGACTGCTTATCACTTTATAGGAATGCAGGACCCACTTGAGTGAGGAAGAGGAAGGATGGTCTTTCTTACATACTTCACCTTGTTAATCCCTCTCATTGGAGCAGAAATTTTTATTGTTATTTTCTCAGCAAATTCCCATGATACTGTTATTTCTTCAATCTGATTTCATTCTAGAGCTGACTTCAGTTTACAGATTTTGCTTGCTTCAAGTGCAGGGAATATGATCGTGAATTGCTGTAAGCTGAGGCTCCTTTTGCATAGCAGGATGAAGAATTTTTTGCTATGTTTTCCCATAGTAGTTCCTCTTGACTGGAGACCATCCAAAAAAAAACCAAACAAACTGGAAGTGATGATATGGATAGATATCATACCTTGGTCAGGCTATAAACCTAACTAGAAATGATAACTGGGATGCAAGGTTGAAACAGAAGACACAAAATTGGTAAAATTTGAGCAGCATCCTCTGTGAATGATTTTCCTTTTGAGCAGGAGACACAAAGTGTCACTGCCTTTCAAGCTGACTGAGGAAAGTGGTGGTTTCTGTCCCACTTTTGTGGTTCCATAGTTTGGTGTGTGTGTGTGTGCATGTATTCAGCTGTGTGTGCACACATCCATATATGTACCTGCAGCTACAGGTAGTTAAATGGTCCAGAAAGAGCTGACTGACCTGCTGTTTTGTATGCTTTCTGTCACATTGAAGATCTGAACTCTTTGTGGTCAGTTGGGTTTTTTCATTAAAGCCATAGATCAGTGTCTTTACCACAAAAACCTCTGTATTATAATGTAAGAAAAAAAAAAAAAGACTTAGAGGCCAAAGAGTTGTTTTGGTTTTTTTTTTTATCCTGCATAATGAATGTGTGTTTTTTGCTCTTATTGACCAATATGTTGGTGGAAACCTTTGATGGTGCCATTCCAAAACAACTCAGAAATTACAAGATATTTCCACGCTGGGGAACAAACTTTTCTCGTAAGTCATGTGGTGTTCAGAGTGCATAGCTAAACTTAGGAGAAGCCTAGTAGGAATAAACCCCAGCCTTATCCAGGGAAAGCCCTGCTCTGGCCTGAGGCTTAGCTGTCTGTGAGCTGGTGAGATTAACCCTGCTACAGCTGAAAAAAAGTGTTCCTTCTTAAAACACATCTGCTCACCTGATCTGAGAAGCCTCTAGAATTCCAAGAACTTGTATCAGTTTTAAAGCCAAGCAAGTAATACTTGAAGCCTGAGAATCTGGATGTTAAGTATGGGAGATTGCAGGGGGAGAAAAATTGCAATTGCTACTTTTTTGGAAATTATCTTGTATAGGAAGGTGGCTTGCTGTATTTCTAAACTCTAAAGAGTTTTTCATGCTGATTTATGTGCAGGTTAGTTATATGTGTGTGGTGATCAGGAAAGGCCCTAGACCTATTAGTAAATTCTTCTTTTATGTGAGCACAGTGTTTTATGTTGTGTTGGATTTGCAGTGAGGTTATTTTGTGTGTGTGTGTGTTTTGTTTGTTTTCTAACATGGTGTATTTTTTATTCCTAATATGCTGGGAATACACTTGTCAAACGGAAACCACAGGTTTTATGGCAAATAGCATCACAAAATGCCTAAAGAGAAGTGAGGAAGAGTGTTAAAGTGACAGCAGTATACAGAAAGCTGCTGTTGGAGCTATCAGCAGTGAATGTGATCCTTGACTGTTACTGGAAGCAGGGAGGTTATTCTTGTTTGAGTCCTGCATTCAGTTTCTGGTGCCTGTACTTGAAGATGTGCAGCAAAGAATTTGGAAGGCACTTCTAGATATGTGCCCAACTTAAATCTCCCTAGTGTTTCTTAGTAAACAAAGCAATAGGTTGATTACTATGCATAGCTGCACACTGATAATGGAAGACAATTCAGATCTGTTTCACTTACTGGCAGAAGAAAGAAAATATTCAGTGGCTAGACATTGGTCCTGAGACAGCTGCTGAGAATTCAAACAACAGAAGGGCTTATGCAGACAGCTATGTCATGATGTGTTCCTAATCACTGAGATATGCCTTCATCTGGCTTGGATAAATTGTTGGGCGGAGCAGGAGGAGATGATGGAATGAAGATGCCTGGAGGTGCTGATAATATGTGCAGTGCAGCATTAAGACAATGGTTTTTGCTGCTTAGGCTCTGTAATTTGACCTGACTTCTCCATGGATGGTGTAGGCAGTTACTCTCGGAGGTAGTCGCCACTCTCATTCCTGTGAACATGTGCTGAGGCATGTGTCCAGAAAGTGTCATTTCTGGATTCCTGGCTGATCCCTTGCTCCAGGCAATGTGGAACTGAATGCAGGGCAGGGAAGGAATGTCCGCTGTCAGATTCTACCTTCCCCTGGAATTTGGAGTGTCATCTCCTGCTAAGGTCATTCAAGTGTATTTCAGAAGTGATTCCTGAAGTTGTATTCATCGTGGGTATTCATGGAATCTTAGACTTCCTTTCCTGTTTTTGTTTCCTTGGATATGCCCTCATTTTACCTAAGGACTGATATGCCTTAATATAGCTGAAGTTTTTGTATTTGATAGAGGATATATTTCAACTTAAATCCTGTGAAACTGGACGGGAATTGCACAGGTCTGGAAGCAAGTTCAATGGTTCTTTAAACATATGCATAAACTTGTTAGAATTATTTTGTGATACCACAACTTTAGTTAAAAACCCCACCAACCTACTGAAAGAATTTGTAGGATTTGAAGGAATTTTCTTGCATTCCTAAAATATCTTTTGAGTGATATTCAATGTGTGTGTGTGTGTATGCATATAGAGAGAGATCTCATACAACACAGTATGGAGGCATCTTGCCTGCAGATTAGCTTCATTTCTGGTTTGTCATCTTTCTCTTTGCCTAAAGTGCTTGCTGTGTCCTTGATCAGCATATTTGCACACATATTTACATGTCCTTTTAGTCCCTAACAGCATCTTCTCTGAACAATCTGTTCCTTTTGTGGCAGTGCAGGTGTACTCAGGTGTCTGCACTGTGCAAACCAAGACAGCAGGGGGGAAAAACAGAGGGTAGAGGGGGGGAACCTGGGAGCCCTGCCAGCTCTCAAAGCAGTTCTGAGTTGAGTAAAGCCCAAGAACTGGTAGTTCTCTCTGCTTGACTGCTGCAGTTCTGTGTCCAGCACTATGGGAGCTGCTCTTGCTTCACACACGTAGGTGCCTCCAGGGACACAACACAACCCGAGATGCTAAGCAAAAGCAGACTTACCCAGAACCTTGGCATGTTCACCTCCAGAGCAGAGAGAGTGACTGAGGAAAAAAAACACTTCTTGTAATCAAAGGAAAACCGAGAGTTGCATGCTTTTCTTGCAAGGCATGTTATGCAGTGCTGCAGTTGCCCTCTCCCCCTGTGAATCTTTAAGCCAGGTGCTGTTTTCTATCACCAGGAAACAAACCTATCTATCTTAGTGACCCTTAGTTCCTGAGTTGTTTGTACTCCAAGGAACATCTCTCTGCCAAACAGCAGCTGCTCAAACTCACTACTGAAGTCACAGATTGCTGCATTTCAGTGAGCAGTCATCCCAGGCCTGCACTTCAGAAAGTTGCTCTCCTCTGCTGATTGTTAGCTGAGGACTAGGAAGCATTTCTTTGGTGTTCTTATTTGCTTTTAAGATACGGTCTTTATCTCTTGCGTACCTCCAAGTGACGCTGTCAAAATTAAGAACAGCTTGGTTGTATGTTAATGAAGTTTGCATTTAGCCTCAGCCTCCTGACCCAAGGATCTTAGATAAGGAAAGGGCAGCGTTCAGTGAATTTTGAGAGAAAAGTCTTTCTGAGTTTAGAGCCTATAACAATGCCTTAAACACTCTAGTCTACTGGACACATGACTGTAGTAAAAAGCTGATTTTTCATTTTATCAGAGCTACACCAGTGACTCAGTAGAGCAGTCAAGAAGATACCGAACCTGTTTTATTTTATAGATTATCAAAAACTTAGGCTATAGCCACTTCACATTCTTAAAAATCATCCTTTTTCTTTTTCCCTATAGATAAGGAGTCTTATATTCACATTCCCTCAGATATGACTGTGCAGTTCTCCAGAAGTCTTTTAAAACTTTGATTACTAAAAGCAATTGTTTGGAAGGTTTTTTTAATGGGTATCAATGGTGACTACAAAGCTCCAAGGAGGATGGGCTAAAATAAGAGGCTTGTGTGGGTTGGCTGATTTAAAATGCCTTTGCTCAGCATTTTAAGTATGTGGCTTGCTGGCAATCCATTTTATAGAGCCAATCCTTGCTTCCCAGAAGCTCTAAATTTAGGAATGCAGTTAATGTGAAATTAAGAGCTGTCCGTGCTTAACACACAGCTAACTATGGAGAAAACCCAAGGAGTAGAAGTTGAGCTGCAAGAGACTGGGATAAATATAAACTGTGTGTGATGTGAATGGATGGCCTCTGCCAAACATGGTGGGTGAATCTTCAGGGTACAGTTTCATGCTTCACTTGACACCATCTAGGTGTATGGCAGTGCTGAAAAGATCTCTGTCTTGTGCTTATTCCTGACTCCAGCTTTGCTCTTTGGATCAGATCATGAGTTTATCCACTTAAAACAGTTCCAGTTGGCTTGAGTGTTTTTTCTTCTGGTTTGTCTCGTCTGACTTGGTCAATGCAGTCAGTACCAGAAAGGTGCTGGGTCAGAGTGTGGTCTATCCTGGAATTGTAAACTGCTGGACTGGCTGACTGTGCACCTGCAGTGTATTTCTGTATTTAACTGGAATCTGGAGGAAATTGTGAGTTCATGTGCATCTGAAATGTGG